AACAGAATCCAGCACATAACCAAAAAAGGCCAAAGAAGGATAAGCAAAGAAGGATAAAATAAAACAGCAAAAGCAGTTAATAGAATTTCCTTTTCTGTAATACTCAAATCTCTCAAAGCTAAGACAAATTTTAGATTTCATGAATTTATTTACTGGGTCAACAAAAAAATCTACTGAATGCCTGCTCTAAACTATCTCAGGCACTGAGGAACAAGGTCTTTGCTTTTACTTCAAAGCACTTTATGCAGCAGAACAGCAAAATTTTACCTGCTATCGCATTTTTCCCTTTTGCAGAACCAAAATAATTTCAAGCACAAGTGCTAAACAAACACTATTTTGAGTGCTAATTCAAAAATTAAAACAGTAATATTTGAAAGGAAACATTTTAAAACCATAGTTTCAAAATATAATTGGAAATTCAATATAGATTTAGAAAAAATACCTTCAGTCATCACTGATGAAATTTAAAAAGGACTCATGTCAAAATACAATTTTAATTCAAATCATATTTAGAAAATATCTTGCTTCAACACTGACGACACCTGATCATTACCAAGTAACTTCTGATGGAACCACTATGAGAGGTAAATCAATGTAACATTCCAGATAAATGCCTATGAAGCAGTTCAGTGGAAAGGACAGCTCTACTCACTGGGGAAAGATTCTTCAAAAAGGTGAAGAAGCTGCTTTATGTTTAGTTCTAACATGCTCTCAACTCTGGCTGCACACTAGAAGCACCTGGGGGGCTTCTGAAAAATACTTATGTCTGGGCCCAACCCTAACCAAATGAAACTCAATCTCTAGGGGGTGAAGCCAGGCATCTGTCATCGTTAAAAGCTCCCCAAGTAATTCTGCTGCACAGCTGGCTTAAGAATCACTGTTCTACAAGTTCCAATTATTGATTGCCATTTCAAAGAGAAAGATACGGTTATTTATGTCAACTCTTTCCCACCACCAGTATTGACTGAAAAGATCTCCCAACACTAGTCCCTGTCATTTATACGGTATTTCCTCAGAGACTTCACCTAGAAGCCTTGGCCTACAGTCACATACCTGTTAAAACTGTCCTGCCAGAATCTGAAGACCCCAAAATGCATTATCTTACTAGAGGTCTCACTGTATTATAAGTAACTGACATTTTACTGAAAAGAGCAAACTCAATTTAAGAAAAAGATTCTGACGTGCAGATACTAATGAGTAAATATTTGGAAAAACCAGCAACAAGGTTTTGTAACATCCCCTCCCACCAAAACAGACTTCCCTGGTGGCTCAGAGGGTAAAGAATCCATGTGCAATGCAGGAGACCAGGGTTCGATCCCTGGATTGGGAAGTTCCCCTTGAGGAGGGCATGGCAACCCATTCCAGTATTCTTGCCAGGAGAATCCCACAGACAGAATTGAGCCTGGTGGGCTATAGTCCATGGGGTCGCAAAGAGTCAGACACAACTGAGCGACTAAACACATGCCATCAAAACAAGGGTTTTTTGGCTTATTTCCCTGAAACTTTTTAAAAATTATAATTGAAATTTATTTCAAACATATATAAAAATAGAACATAAAATCAAATCCCATATAGTCATCACAACTGAGAATTATCAAATCCTGGTCAATCATATTTCATCTATACAACCTCATATTCAACATCCCCTAACCTTGATAATTATGAAGCAAATCCCACACATCATATTGTTTCACCTAGGCTTTAATTAGTGTAAACAATGCAGAAAGTACCCTGAAAAGATTTACATAGTAAGAATGACAGAAAAAGGTGATAACAGTTTTTAAATATAAAAGGAAAATGACATGTGAGTTTCCTCATTTCTACAATCTGTTGGTTACCTCTTACTAGACTAAGGAACACTGTACCTCTTGTCTTGGCTAGCTTAGATGTCACAGAGGTTTAGTTTCACAGGTAACAACCATTTCAAGTAGAGTTCTTACCTGGGATCTAGAGAGGTAATAAATCAAATTACTTAAAAAAAAAATCTTTAATACTGATAAATCTTTAATACTGATAATTACCAAGACAACCAACAGTAAATTCTTTAAATTTTTTTTCCAGCTTTCCTGAGGTATAATTGACACATAATAATTATATATATTTAAGGTACACACTTGATGTTTTGATATATGTATACATTGTGAAATTACAACCATTATCAAGGGAACTAACATTTCCATTACATACAGTTACCATTTTCTTTTTTTGGTGGTAAGACCACTTAACACCTCTCTTCTTGACTTAGATTTGGGATCTAAACCCAACTACTAGTTGTGTAATTTGAAATTACTTAATCTGTCATCTCTCACCTGTAAAATGAGGATAATACTACTATTTTTTGGAAATTAGATAACGTGTAAAGTGCCAAGCACAGTCCAGCACATAGTAGTTACCACAGTGAGTCCATGTACTGACATGAACTAAATGTTATTATCAGGGCTGCTTCAAAACACCGAAATAACAAATAGCCTGGACAGTGAGTAGTTTCCAACCTGAAACACCTAAATTCTTTGGGCATATGAAAGTAATAATGTGGCAATCTTGAGTTGTAGCCAAACATTTCTTTTCAACAGGTTTCAAGTAAGTTCTGAGACCCTCAGAATAAGTTTTTTTTTTTTTTTAAAGAAAACATGCAATTAGACAGAAAAATAGTGCTAGAAAATATAGTCAGAATAAACTGAATCACTTGTTCATTTATTCTAAGTGGGTTAAAAATGAAGTACAAAGTTCCTATCTGTAGTTCAAGGTCAAAGGTATTATTCTTATATCTTTTCTAATGAGTCTTAACCAGTTTGCTCAGAATGGTAATTAAATACTGTTTGCAAGAAACTGAATGCCAAGTCCTTTAAAAAAATCAATGAAACAGAGCAACACCTAGTCTTCATCTTCCCTCAGTTAAGCTATCTTAATATATTTACTTCCTTAATAAATCCTGAACAAATCCTAAACTTCAGTGCAACCACACTATGCATTCAAACTTTATCATCACTATAGACAGTTGAAAACACTTTTTTTTCCTTCTTTTGGATGTATGGTTTTGTGGTAGGTATATGACACAGACTCTCTCTTTTAACGAAAAAGGAATGCAGAGAAATTTCATTTACTTTCATTAAACAGGAATGCAGAGAAGTTTGGCTTTGGTCTAGGTATTTGGTCCAAATCCTCCTCTTAGCAAAGCAGTTAGTATTCCAAAGGTCTAGCCCAAATAGAGCAACCATTTCTGGCATTTATAAACCTGTGTGTGATCACTGATCTTGTGATTGCATGGGTGTAACAATCTCAGTAATTAAAACAATCATTCAGGTTTGTTTTTCCCTGAATATTCATTTTCAAATAGCAACATTGTAGACGCCACGAGAATGTCTTAGACAACTTATAATTGTCTTAAGTCTATGAAGGCTGAAGATTTAATCATAAAGTGTTACAAATGATCCTTTTCAATAGTTGAAGATGAACTTTTGGGACACACCTAAACTTTGAATCCTAGTTCCTACTAAATAATTTATTGTAAAACATTTTTCTGAATGTTTGTATTAACTGTCAATCTATTTTGCTAAATAACTGAAAGATTTTACAAATTGTTTATATATAAAATTAAGATTTCACAAGCAACATAATTACTACAGCATTCTACTCTTCTACTGACTGATAAAATGAGCATATAAGAACATTTTTACTCCATTTCAACCAGTTTGGCCACCTGATGCGAAGAGCTGACTCATTTGAAAAGACCCTGATGCTGGGAAAGATTGAGGGCAGGAGAAGGGGACGACAGAGGATGAGATGGTTGGATGGCATCACCAATTCAATGGAAATGGATTTGGGTAAACTCCGGGAGTTGGTGATGGATAGAGAGGCCTGGCATGCTGTGGTTCATGGGGTCACAAAGAGTCGGACACAACTGAGCGACTGAACTGAACTGAACATGTCAATACTACTATTGTTAGCAATAAACTATAGTAATGGTTAATTTTTTGGATGAAATGATTCTTCTACTCTAGAAGTTCATCCTATCTTGGTGCTCTCTGGCTACAGATAAAAACTAATTGCATTTTTGGTCATTGGCATTGGGTCAAAATGTACATCTGGTATACACCTCTACTCATAATGTATGTAGCGGCTTATCTCTATTGTTTCCTAGTAGAGAATCTTGTCTTAGCCTGGTGGAGTATTTTTACTTGATAGTTGTAGAAAAATCCCAACTGTTCCACTTCATAACTGATATTCTCTAGTTTTCCTTTTCCTGTCTTTTTCACTCAAAGTCTGTTCTACACTATTCAAAACTAAATTATCCACTGTTTTGCACTGTTCCCTGTGCTCACCTTGTCTTCTCATAGGAGTTCTTCCTCGAGGATGGGCATTAGGCTTCTTCTATACTGTCCATAGTGCTGAACAATACAGAAGTGCCAGTCATTTAATATAGATTTACTAGTTCAGTAAAATCCAAGATATTACTGACTAGCTACCTTTGTGTCTCATATATCATTCTCCTTAATTTTAGATTATTCCATAAATAAACTATCCAAAGCTAAACATATCAAAGTTTAAGCAAATAAGGGGCTGCATTTAACAAAAGATATAAGTGTGTGTGTGGGGGGGGGGCACAAACTGGGAGACTGGGAATTACATAAACATTAAGATACCAGTAAGGACCTAGTGTACAGTGCAGGGAGCTCTGCTCAGTACTCCATGATGGCTCATATGGGAAAAGACTAAAAAAGAATGGATATATGTATAACTGATTCACTTTGTTGTACACTTAAAACTAACACAACACTGTAAATCAACTATATTCCAATAAAAATTTAAAAATAAAATGAACAAAAACCCCCAAAGATATAATTAATGTTGTTTAGTGGAAGAGAAAACAGTATATTAAGATTTAAGACAATGAAGGTAAATCATTTACTTTCTTCATGCCTTAGTCTACTATGGATTCTGCAAGGCAATTACATAAAGTCAAAATAACTGAGAAGGAAAATCATAGTAGTAATACTAACCTGAAAGTCTGGACAAGATTTTTAAGTTGTGTGTAAATATCTCCTAATGTAATCTGAAGAGGTCCCAAAAGTCCAGGCAATCTGAAAATAAAAATTACATTTCTTTAAAAAAAAAAACTTGTATTAAAATATAATTATGTAGATACATTTAAAGAATGTAACTATATAGATATATTTGGGGGGTTCCTGCCTAAGTTTGGATATTTCATAGGTAGGTAACCATGCCACTGAGGTGGAGACAGCTAAGCCAGGTTTAACTGGTGAGAAGTCATAAAGAAATATTTCAAAGTAACTCCACACTCTATTTTGTAGTTTATGCTACAGAAAGAAGCACTGAAATGAAAAAAATTTTTTTGGCTGCTATCTATATTCTTGTCTCTTTCTTACCTTTTCACTTTCAAATATTAAATAAATGGAAAGAACATAGGCGAGAGGAACTGCCCCCCAAATGGAGCATTACGGGAATATGGATTTAATATTTCTTATTAAATCCTTAAGGTAAGGTAAAAACTGGTACATTTCTAGAGAGAAATTTGACAATATATACTAACATTTTAATGCAGACACTGTTTGACCCAACAGTTTTGATCAATACCATACAAAATTTATCCTAAAGAAATAATCAAACATAAAAAAAGACAGTTATTGGAGAAGTATTTTAGTAGTGAAAAACTGGCAACAAATGTCTGTCAGTAGATGGTTACATAAATTATGATGTAACCACAAAATAATAAAACCTTTAAAATACTATAAATCTATATATTTTAATGTGGAAAGATATTCATGATAAACGTTAAGTGGAAAATGCACGTGTGTGTGTGTTAGTTGCTTAGTCGTGTCCAATTCTTTGCATCCCCATAGACTACAGCCCACCAGGCCCCTCCATCCATGGGATTCTCCAGGCAAGAAAATGCACATGAAGTTGTCCCCTTTTTTATAAAAACATACATATTATAATGCAATTGTATATCACACATAGTATGTATCAAGCATGTCATTTTCTCTAGGTTTAGACTATAATAAAGATGAAACCAAAGGGAATGAATACACACACATCACATATATCACATATATGTCAGGGATGAACATAAAAATATTAATAGTAATTACTGTGATTACAGTGATTTTCACTTCTTTAATTATATCATTTTGCACAGCCTAACCCTTCTGGAATAAGCATGTATTACTTTAAAAAAAGTTATATAAGTTTAAAACATGTTCCAAAATAGAGAAACAATAATAACCCCTCATTTCTATTCCCACATTTAGCCTCCCAATATTTTGTTCCATTTGCTTCATTTTTCTTTTTTTTTTTTTTTGCGACATCTTCAAGTAAACCATGTCATTTGTTTGACCCCTAAATTACTCTTTATGTATACAAGTGCATTTTGTATAAAACCATAATAAAATCATCACATTTAACCAATAATGGTTCATTAATATCATCTAATACCCCGTGCATAGTTCACTTTCTTTGATTCTCTAAAATAAATTTTTTGTATAATTGGTTTGTTCCAATCAGAAACCAGAAAAGGTCTTACTTTTATAATAAAGTGTTAACTTTCATAATAAGAAAAATAATTAACTGCTTTCATAAACAATGAAACAAAAAAAAAATCCCTATGTCACTATTATTTTGTTTTCAGTATTCTTTGTGCTTCTCCAAGTTATTCTACCTCTTCTCAGATTTAACTATCACCCTAATATTAATAACTTGGTATTCTAGCAAGGTTTCTTTTGGGATGTCCTGTTGCAGCTAAAACCCACAAGGAACAGAATTCCTTCAGTGACATGGCTGTGTGGTCTTCAATTTAAAAGTGGGTACTTGCATCAGCTAAAAAGTCTAGAAAACTATTTTCACATAAATCCCTACCTATTAATTACATGCTAGCATAGTTAATCTATCCCAACTTTCAAAACCTATGTAACGAAAATGAAGGATTGATACCTTCTTATCCTAAGTCAGACAGTTGGTAACTTATATTGTTATATAAATTAAATTTTAACGGAAACAAGTATGAAGAACAGAAAAAAGGCAAAACAGATTTATTATATATGAAGTCTTAACACATGACAAGCATGCAATAAATATTACATTTAAACACTTATTTAAAATGTAAACTTTAGAAAAGTAAGCTATTCAAAATACTATGGCTTCTAGAAAAGGCTTTTTAATTTTTGAACTACTACAAAATTAAGACTTCTCCATGTGCACAACACCTTCAGCAATGCGTGAAAAAACTGTTCTGTCTTTTCTGCTGAAGAAAAATAACGCAAGTTGAAAAGTTCAAGACATCCGTCACATCTCTGGAAAAAAGATTTTCAAGCTCCTTTTGAAAGAGAAACCAAGACTGCAATTTTCAAATGTCATTTATGACTGGGCTAATTACAAGAACAACAATTTCCACTACGGGAAGCTCAAAACTAAAGTGCAAAACTCAAGCTTCTGAGTGTGAAATGGTTCTCTGAATATGCATATACACCGAGTAAGTCAATAAACCGTTAAACCTTTATAAAATCTTATTCACATGTGAAACTGATGACACATTTACCACAAATCAGTATTTAAATAGGTCCAGCTCTGATATTTTTTCCCTAACTTCACTGGATTATTGAATGGAAGTGAGGTAGTTTGGTTTTCGTTTCCCATAATCTCAACTTTCGTCTTTATTATGTCTCTGTCTTCAGCACAAAACAATTTCAACACACTTTGGTAGAACACCTTAAAAATACAAGTTTCTCAGGTGAAGAAATCCGTGTAAACTTTATGTATTATTTTTCAAAATAAAAAAATCAAGGATTACACCTATAAGTTATAAACCCACAAATATCAAATTGATTTTTAGATATTATAAAAGTGGAATGATAATTACATACTTACACTTTATTCAATTTTTCAAGTACGATGCGTTTTCTGATCTGGTTCTGAGAACTTGAATCTATCAGTGGAAAGGTGGGATCATGCTGAATCACATTTTTAAACAAAGCAAAATAAAATAATAAATTTATATTCTTTCTTTGATAGTAACACATTAAAACACAAAAGTTTATACCTATGATATGGTAGAATAAAAATCAGACTTCAGAAGGAGAAGATTTAAATTTGACTATCCACGTAGTCAGCAGGCTGGTGTGAACTTGCTTGAATCATCTGCCCTCTTTTGAGAGCCTTTTCTCATCTGTGTAATAGGGATACTAACACCTTCTTTATTAAATGCTGAAAATGTATAGAAAAAGACTTTATAAAATGCTAAATGTCACATAAATGTAGGAGATTAAAGGACTAAAATTATCAAATACTATAAATATAATTTGGGAAACTCCACTTCTAGAAATGGCAGACAAGACAATTCAAACCACTCTTCTTGCTGAGAACTGAAAAAGCTGGGAAAAAACCCACATTTGTTTGAAAGAATCAGAGAGCTAATAAGACAGTAAAGAATTATGTCTGAGATTTTGGAGAAAGTAATTCCAGAGAAGGCACTGACTAATTCTAGAAGAGGCAATTTAGATACTGAGAACCTAAGCATCAGAGTTTGGGGCATGCCAAAAAGGAAGAGGTACTGTCAACCTTCCCCAAGCTTGAGACCAATAAGAATGAACAGGAAACAGACTCGCTGCTACAGGGACTGAAGCCCAGCTTCAAATCACCTTAATCACTGACTGGATTAAAGTGATTTGGGATGGCTGCAAATCTGCCAGAAGCAAACACAAATCTGTTCTAGAAGAAGATAACGTCAGCCTGGGTTTCAAGTTATCTCTGTAATTTTTTATTATACGATGTTTGCCACATAAAGTAGGACAATATGATCATAATCTGAAACACGAGTTCATAAAATCAACCCCTAAGGAAATCCATGTAATGAAACTATCAGCCTTATTTAGAATAACTATGCTGAATATATTAAAAAAACGACAAGATGGAAAATTTTAGCAGAGAATGGGAAACTATATAAAAGAAAGAAATGAAACCCCCAGTAACTGAAAAATATCATATTTAAAATAACTCAATGGATAGATTTAATAACATAGTAGAAAGGACTGAAGAGAGAATATTCATTTGGAAAACATCCAGAATGAAACATAGTCACACACCTCTCCCCACCAGGGGTAATGCAAAGCACAGGAGAATATAAAAGACAGAAGATACAGTGAAAAAGACTAACATATCTGCAATTGAAGTACCAGGTAGAGAGGAAAATGGGAAGAAACAATACCTGAAGAGGTAATACCTGAGAATATTCCAAAACTAATGAAAGAAGTCATCACAGATCTAAGTATATAACAGCCAAAATAATAAATACAAATATAATCACACCTAGGCAAAGCAATCAAAAACTGATGGCAACCAACGGGACCAAAAAAAAAAAAATCGTAGAAGTAGCTAAAGGAAGAAAGTATTTTCAAATAAGAGAAATAAATAGAGGCCAAAAGACAATGAATATGTATTTTTAGTGGGCTGCAAGAAAATAACTGCTAATTTAGAATTTAATGTCCAGGGAAATATCTTTCAAAAGTGAAAGTAAAATAATTTCCTGATAAATAAAACTGGGAAGATTCACCATTAGCAAACTGGCACTAATAAAAAAAGGATATTCTTTAGGCCCATGGTGAATGATCCCGGATCAAAGAACAGAGATGCAGAAGACATGAAGAACAGTAAAAGAGTAATTAATTGGGCAAATCCAACTGAACACTGATTATAAACAATCTTGTAGGATTTAAAAATATAGAGAGAATAAAAGTGCACAACAGTAAGAGCATGTTAAGTTGAGTGGGTAAATGTAAGTTTCTAAGGTACTGACTGTCCAGGAAGCAAAGTATTAACTTATATTCAATTTTAGTAAGACAAAGATTCAAGTTTTAATCTTTAGGGAAACCAATTAATGATTAGTAAAGGAACGTAAAAAAACAAGCTAACAGAGGACAAAAAAATGGAATACTGATACTGGATCCAAAGAAAGAAAGGAGAGAAAGAACACAGAACAGATGGGACATGCAGAAAGCAAGTGAGATGGCAGATTTAAACCTAAATATATAAATTGTGACATTAAATGTAAATAGACAAAATTCTTCACACAAAGGACATAGATTATCAGCCTAGGCTTTTTTTTTTTTTTTAAGACAGTCCTTGAAAATACTAATGAAAAAATCCTACTGTCAAAGTAGATCTTGTAAGACCAAAATTAAATAAATTAATAAATGTAGAGAAAAATTACTCCCTATGCTAAGAGGTTTGATTTACCAAGAAGACATAACAATCTCACATTTACACCTAAGAACATGGTCTCAAAGTATTAAAATTCAGAAAAGTAAAGGGAAAAATAATCAATTTATAATTATGGTGATAAATCTTGACCCACCTTTCCCATCTTTCTCAGTAACTTATGGAATAAGCAAACAAACAAACAAGAAAGAAAAATCAACAGTGCTTCTCAAGCTGTAATGTGCACACATTTCCCCAGAGAGAAATAAGAAATCTGACTGATACTCCCCACCATAAACAAAAATCAATTCCAGATAAATTACAGACCTAAATGTTAAAGGAAACACAACAAAGCTTCTAGAAGATGAAATAATCCAAGCTAAGTAAAGATTTCTTAAAGAAGTCACTAAAGGGAACAATTAATAAACTGGGTTCAAGACACTGTTAATAAAAGTGAAAAGGAAAATCTCAGTGGAAGATATCTGTAATACATAAAAATGGGTTTGAATTCTGCACACAGAATTCTGACAAATCAACAAGAACTGCCTCCCCAGCACCCAGCACCAACAGATAAATGGAAAAAAGGACTAGAACAGGTACTTAACAAAACAAACTATCCAAATGGCCAATAAGCAGATGAAACAGTGCTCAACTCAATCATCAGAGAAATGTACTATAACCTAACAGCAATACCATCAGAATGGTGAAAAGTAACAATATCAAGTATTGGTGAGAATGCAGAATCATGGAAACTGTCATAGAGTGATAGCAGAAAATACAATGCAGAACCATTTGGAAAACTGTTTGGCATTAATTAGTATAGTTGCATATATGTACATATTATGACCCAGAAATTCTAGCCCTAGATATATACCCAACAGAAATGCATACACATTAAGAGAGATATATACAAGAAAAGTTCATAATAGCATAGTTCTTAATAGCCCCAAACTGGAAACAGCCTAAAAACTCATTAATAAATTGTGGTATATTTATATAATGGAATACCATGCAGCAATAAAACTATGAATTACAACTATATGCAACACCTACATACATAATGGTTTTTGTTTTTTTTTGGCTACACTGTGTGGTTTGTGGGATCTTAGTTCCTCAACCAGGGATTGAATGCTGGCCCTTGCAGTGAAAGCCAAGTCTCAACCACTGGACTGCCAGGGAATTTCCAAGGGCTTCCCAGGTGGCGCTAGTGGTAGAGAACCCGCCTGCTAATCCAGGAGACGTAAGATATGCAGGTTCAATCCCTAGGTCGGGAAGATCCCTAGAGAAGGGCATGGCAAATCAATCCATTGTTCTTGCCTGGAGAATCCCATGCACAGAGGAGCCTGGCAGGTTACAGTCCATGGGGCTGCAAAGAGTCAGATGTGACTGGAATGATTTAGTACATATAGCAAAATGTTGTATGAAATAAATTATATACATAGTGAATCTATTTACATATAGTTCAAAATTGGGAAAACTATGCTATTGTAACAGTCATTAACTCTGGAGACAGGTAATGATTTCTAGGAGACATACTGGAGCTTCTGGTTTACTCAAATTTTGTAGCCTGGGTAGTGATTACACTGGTATATTCACTTACGATAATACAATGAGCTGTACACTTACAATTTGTGTTATACTTCAGTGAAAGAAGTTTAAAAACAGAAGCAATCCCCCGCCATCTTGGCTCCTAAAGACTCTACCAGAAAATTACTAGAGCTAATCAACGAATACAGTAAAGTTGCAGGATATAAAATTAACACACAGAAATCTCTTGCATTCCTATACACTAACAATGAGAAAACAGAAAGAGAAATTAAGGAAACAATACCATTCACCATTGCAACAAAAAGAATAAAATAGTTAGGAGTATATCTACCTAAAGAAACAAAAGACCTATACATAGAAAACTATAAAACACTGATGAAAGAAATCAAAGAGGACACAAACAGATGGAGAAATATACCGTGTTCATGGATTGGAAGAATCAATATTGTCAAAATGGCTATACTACCCAAAGCAATCTATAGATTCAATGCAATCCCTATCAAGCTACCAACGGTATTTTTCACAGAACTAGAACGAATAATTTCACAATTTGTATGGAAATACAAAAAACCTCGAATAGCCAAAGTAACCTTGAGAAAGAAGAATGGAACTGGAGGAATCAACCTGCCTGACTTCAGACTATACTACAAAGCCACAGTCATCAAGACAGTATGGTACTGGCACAAAGACAGAAATATAGATCAATGGAACAGAATAGAAAGCCCAGAGATAAATCCACGAACCTATGGTCACCTTATCTTCGGCAAAGGAGGCAAGGATATACAATGGAAAAAAGACAACCTCTTTAACAAGTGGTGCTGGGAAAACTGGTCAACCACCTGTAAAAGAATGAAACTAGAACACTTTCTAACACCATACACAAAAATAAACTCAAAATGGATTAAAGATCTAAATGTAAGACCAGAAACTATAAAACTCCTAGAGGAGAACATAGGCAAAACACTCTCTGACATAAATCACAGCAGGATCCTCTATGACCCACATCCCAGAATTTTAGAAACAAAAGCAAAAATAAACAAATGGGACCTAATTAAACTTAAAAGCTTTTGCACAACAAAGGAAACTATAAGCAAGGTGAAAAGACAGCCCTCAGATTGGGAGAAAATAATAGCAAACGAAGCAACAAAGGATTAATCTCAAAAATATATAAGCAACTCCTCCTGCTCAACTCCAGAAAAATAAATGACCCAATCAAAAAATGGGCCAAAGAACTAAACAGACATTTCTCCAAGGAAGACATACAGATGGCTAACAAACACATGAAAAGATGCTCAACATCACTCATTATCAGAGAAATGCAAATCAAAACCTCAATGAGGTACCATTATACGCCAGTCAGGATGGCTGCTATCCAAAAGTCTACAAGCAATAAATGCTGGAGAGGGTGTGGAGAAAAGGGAACCCTCTTACACTGTTGGTGGGAATGCAAACTAGTACAGCCACTATGGAAAACAGTGTAGAGATTTCTTAAAAAGCTGGAAATAGAACTGCCATATGACCCAGCAATCCCACTTCTGGGCATACACACCGAGGAAACCAGATCTGAAAGAGACACGTGCATCCCAATGTTCATCGCAGCACTGTTTATAATAGCCAGGACATGGAAGCAATCTAGATGCCCATCAGCAGACGAATGGATGAGGAAGCTGTGAGACATATACACCATGGAATATATTACTCAGCCATTAAAAAGAATTCATTTGAATCAGTTCTAATGAGATGGATGACACTGGAGCCCATTATACAGAGTGAAGTAAGCCAGAAAGATAAAGACCATTACAGTATACTAACACGTATATATGGAATTTAGAAAGATGGTAACGATAACCCTATATGCAAAACAGAAAGAGAGACTCAGATGTATAGAACAGACTTGTGGACTCTGGGAGAAGGCGAGGGTGGGATGTTTCAAGAGAACAGCATCGAAACATGTATATTATCTAGGGTGAAACAGATCACCAGCCCAGGTTGGGTGCATGAGACAAGTGCTCGGGCCTGGTGCACTGGGAAGACCCAGAGGGATTGGGTGGAGAGGGAGGTGGGAGGGGGGACCGGGATGGGGAATACATGTAAATCCATGGCTAATTCATTTCAATGTATGACAAAAACCACTGCAATGATGTAAAGTAATTAGCCTCCAACTAATAAAAATAAATGGAAAAAAAAAACCAGAAGCAATCAAATTTAGGGATTAATTTTTCCTTTGTAAGGCTTATAAGCATAAAAATGATATAGGCATAAAAGGCTATACAGCTGAATGGCAGAGATCAATGTTTTTCCAAGCTTCATGTAAAATTTATGCATGCTGTCTAATAATACAAGTATACTGTTGGGGTAGGTAACATTCTGTAGAAATATAAGAAATTTCTAAATTTTTTACTATATTTTTAAATATAGTAAAATCTCTTTTAAAATCTCCAATGTGTCATTTAATTTAGAGCCATATTTACTCAGAAATCTTTAGTAACAAACTTCTGTGCTAAAAACAAGGTTATCACCTATTTGTCTTCATGCCAAATTACTTCATTTCCCAAACAACACATCAACCAAAATAGGATAATGGAAATACTGAAAGACCCCCGTTAAATCTCAGTGGCATACATCACTTTCTACATATGACTATTTACATATAACTGAACACCAATTATATGTCAGGTACTGTGATAAATCCTTTATATGCATTACTTTTAAAACTCATAACTTTTGAGTAAGGGAAGCCATTAATAATCCCATTTAAAGATAAGCAATTAGACTCAAGAGACTAAGTTTTCATACAGCTAGTAAATGACAGAGCAGATATTCAAATCTAGGTTTACCCAAATGTGCTCTTTCCATTTTCTCCTATGTCCTCTATTTTCCCAATATGTCTCCTTTACTAAGTCATTTTCATTCTTATTTTAAGTGAGCATGCTTTCCAAATATTAACCAAATATTTTACTATTCAATTAGCAAATTTACTCCCATAAATGTTCATAGTCCCATTGGAAATAAAACACAAAGATACACAACCTATGTAGAAATCTGAAAGCATATACATCAACAAAGAAAAAAGAAGTCTTTTCAGAGTCTAGATAGTCCATGAAAACTAGGTTTTAAAGAAAACTTTGTACCACAATTCTAGGCTATTTCTACATTAGCGAAAAAAGGTTAAATGTTTATGAAAATTTTCTAGGACAAACTTATTTTGAAAATAATAATGCTATTACTGGGCTTCCCTGATAACTCAGTTGGTAAAGAATTTGCCTGCAATGCAGGAGACCCTGGTTCGATCCCTGGGCTGGGAAGATCTGCTGGAGAAGGGATAGGCTACCCACTCCAGTATTCCTGGGCTTCCCTTGTGGCTCAGCTGGTAAAGAATCCACCTGCAATGTGGATCCCTGGGTTGGGAAGATCCCCTGGAGAAGGGAAAGGCTACCCACTCCAGTATTTGGCCTGGAGAATTCCATGGACTGTACAGTCCATGGGGTCACAAAGAGTCGGACACGACTGAGCAACTTTCACTTTCAACTTTCAATGTCAATACTGGAGATGGCATTTTAAACCAAATGATTAAAGGAATCTTTTTTCTTCAATTCTTTCAGTACTTTTCTTCCTGCTCTAAGATTTACTATGGTAATTGTTCCATATATTAGCAGTATGGAAAAATCACCATCATTAAGGGACTTCCCTTGTGGGCCAGTGGCTAGGACTCCACACTCCCAATTCAGTGGGGCTGGGTTTGATCTCTGCTGGGGGACCTAGAACCCATACGCTACAACTATGAGTCTGCATGCCACCAACTAATAAAAAAAGATTCCTGCACACCACAACAAAGACTGAAGATCCCACATGCCGCAGCTAAGACCTGGTGCAGCCAAATAAATCAATATTTTAAAAAAAAATTGTCATTAAGACATACCTCTTCTGAGTCTTGTGATTTGGTGGTTTCTTCATTCAAAACATATCGTCCTCTATAAAACTCCCTGATCCTTAAATTTAATGTTTCAGTTTCTTTTTTCAAGTTCTCATAACTTGGCAGTGGTTTAATGGCTGTATCTGAGGCTCTAAATGGTAAAGACTCATCCAAGCTGTTCAACTCCTGCAAGGCAGGGGAATGACTATATGGGTCAGAGTTTGTATCATCTTCATCAAGTTCTTCTTTAACCAGAGGGGTTGAGGAGGATTTTAGACATATAGATGCATAATTCTGGCCATACAAAAACCTTAAAGTTTCTTCTGTCTTCCACTCAATCAAAGTCTCCTTCAGGGCTTTAAGTAAGTTTGCCTTTGCAATTTCAGGGCACACCTGCAATGAACTGGAAGCTGACCCAGAAACTTGGTTTGATTTGGCAAATTTCCTCTTAAAATGCTCAGCACTTTTCTTGCTTATGCCTACAAGAGTTACTTTTGTACTACTGTATTTAATATCAGAAATTTCTGAAGCTTCTAATTTTTCTTGCAGAGAACTATTTGAAGAAATCTGTGTATTTGCATTCTGCAAAGGAAGTTCACAAGCCGTAGCTTTCTCCTGATTATCTAATCTGCAACTGCCTAACTGCTCAATGACATCTACTACTGTTTGCTCTTTGCTTTCACGTTGAGAGTTAACTTTTTGACCAGCTTTCTTTTTCATTATGCTTTTTTTGTGCAGCTGTGGCCTTATACTCGTTGCATTTGGTCTGTTTCCTGGTAGAATGGAGGAAACAAAGTCTTGCTCATTATCACTGCTACTATCACTATGAGTGCTAGAAGAACTAGATTCATAATGCTTCTCAAAATGGCCAGGATTGTCAATATCTGATGTTTTAATGGCTTTGCTGCATAACTGTATTTCTTCTCCAGAAGGACCACTGTTGAGAGAAAGAAATAAAAACAACTGTAACACAATAACAAAATGTCCCAGAGAATTTATGCTTTGTAACTTTCAAGATAAAAATTTTATTCCCCAGGCAAGGCTTTATAAGCTAATATTTACCTAGGCCTATATATACATACACACACATTTCAGAAGAAAGTTATAATTCTCTAATTTCTCTACATCATATTTGATATAGTTCTCTTTCCATCTTCTTCCCTTTTCTCATTAATCATTTTAAAAGTGTTATAAGAGTTGAGCAAAAAGAAGAAAAACAAAACAAAAAATCAAACCATACCCGCACAAACAAAATCCCACAAACCAACACTTGATAATTCCATCCTACTGAATTATTCTGATTTTTTCTCACTCCATTTCTGTAATGAATCCATTTTTTTTTAAGGTTTCTTTTGATAACTTCATTACTGGTTTCTCAAAAAAAAAAAAACAACACAAAAAACTGTAGGAACTCTGTTTAGATTTTGAATACTTAAAAAAAGATGTTTAAGCATTTTCCAATTCTAGCTGATAGTTATGTAGAAAATTGCATTAAATGAAAAATATAAAAAGTCATTCAAAAGAAAAAGTTGGCAAATCAACATTAATCAATGAAAGATACTTGAAAGTCCAGAATTAAGACACAACGATAATAATTAAAGATGACAGTTTTCCCTTTATGTAACTTTAATTTTCAGATTAGGTTTATAAAAGATTAAAAAATATGAAAGAGTAAAGGCAAAGAGAAGTGTTGTCTATACAAACTTGAGATAGATGAGGGGAGGAGATCAACTAACCTTAAGCAAATGCACAAAAGAGAACTTTTAAAAGGTCAGGATGGGAAGGATTCTGGGTCAAGAAGTACTGGAAGAGTCATGAAAAGGTATAAAGGAACTCTACTTTTCACACAATTTTTCCGTAAACTTAAAACTGCTCTCCAAAAGTGGCTACTGCAATTTTTAAAAAGGTTTTTAAAATGAGATAAAATAATTCAGCAATAAACAAAAAAGCATGCTTCAGGAAAGTATAAAAGAAGAATAAAAGCAGAGTTGAAAACAAGGTTCTGGATGGAAATGGAGAAAAAAAGATAGTAAGTTTATTCAGTATCAGATAACAATATTTAAGCTAGAATTTAGCCTAGACAGTCATGAACTGTCTACTGTAACTGAAGTACAATTTCAAAAAACTTAGAACAACTAAATTTTCATGTATACTTTCTCTTGGAATTGTAAGGTAATTATCTTTTTCTTTACTATTTCAAACCCATAAATTGAAGATTTATATCAATTAAAAGAGTATCTCACTTGTGCTCAATTCCATATAACTAAGGTAGTGATTAATAACCAGGAAAATTTACTCTGGAAGATAAAAGGGTATGTTTTGAGAGATGATCGTGGCTGGGCAAGCAATGTCACTAGGAAAGTTTAGGAAAAAAAACAAAACTCAGAATTTCTATTAATGCTTTAAACACTCTTTCAAATAATTAAATAACTGATACATTAATGTTTTGAAATTCTACAAAGTAAGGCTATAAAAACCTTTCAACAAATGTAATTGGCACAATTTGGTTGACAAAGAAGCACAGTATCTCAGATGGAAGCTGTGTTTGTGTCGTATTTCAACAGGTTCAATTAGACTTTCTTGGTAGGAACAGCTGTACAGTAAATCATACAGATCAAACACATCATCTTACCATCACAAAAGGAAAAAAGCTGTACAAGGCAAATATTTCTTTGTGTGGGCTAGAATGGGCACTTACATAATGCACCAGCACAGGAAGTCCAAGAGTTCATATCACCTGGTTTACTCTTAATGTTTCTATTAACATGAATATACAGAAGGTAAGTGATACTGATTCAACCATACCTTTGTCCTTCCTGTAGCAGCTGAAAATCAGGATGTCTGTAACAACAACACAGGAATAAAAAATTGAAAGCCCTGATATGTCAAACACTTGAAAGTGGTTCATTATAACCACTTTGCATAGACAACATAACAAAAAGGAAACAGTTTAATAATATTTTTTAAGAAAAAATATTAAATGACAACATATTGTAAAACGCACCCACAAGAAATCTTTTGATCTTTTTTATTCAAATTTTCTCATATTTCTGGACTAAGTTCTACAAGCCCAAAGAGTTTCCCTCACTAACCTGCTAAAGTAAATCTCTCCCTTCTCTAAATTTCAGTCATCATTGTCTTTACAGTTAATACACATTAATCATGTACTCTTCTATGACCTAATACAGAAATTTTATCTAAATGTCTTACTTTTCATATGTTTTAGTCTAGTTTCTTAACTAGACTACAAGCTTGTTGAGGGCAGATATTATTATAACTCCCCTGTATTTTGTTTATATAGTCAGTAAGACTTTTTACCTTAATTGATAAAGCAGTTGTACTCCAGCATTGTTGTCAGGTATGTAGGTCAGGTGGTTTAACTCTAAGAAAATTTTGCCTTGTAATATCAAAATCACATTTAGCTGGGCATCAAGGATATCAAAAACAGGAGGAAAAAGTTCTTACAAAGCCAAGTACAAAAGGAACAAATACAACAGCAAATGAGTTCAGGAGAATATGAAAACTCTGTAAAGTACTGCAGAAGTACTCAGAAAAAGCACATTCTAAAAACTACAAAGAACAAAATAAATGGATCAGTATTCTACGTATTTACCAATAGATTCAGTATTGTAAAGGAGTCAGTTCTTCTCAACTCGATCTACAGATTCAATGCAACTCCAATCAAAATCCCAGCATATTATTTTATGGATATCGATGAACTGATCCTAAATTTTCTATGGAGAGGCAAAGACCCAGAATAGCTAACACAATACTGAAGAAGAACAAAGTCGGAGAGTGACACCTCCTGACTCCAAGACTTACTATAAAACTATGTAATCAAGACAGGGCAGTGTGGCACTGGTGAAGAAGAGACAAAAAAGATCAACTGGAAAAAACAGAGAGGCCAGAAGCATCCCACATGGATACAATCAACAGAGTTTTGACATAGAAGTAAAGGCAACAAAATGGAGAAAATACAGTCGTTTCAAAAAATGATGTTCCACATGCAAAAAAATTATTCTAGACAGAGACCTTATACTCGTCACAAAAATTAGCTCAAAATTGATTACAGACCTAAATGTAAGATGTAAAATTATAAAACTCCTAGAAGATTACACAGGAGAAAACCTAGATGACTTTCTAGATACACACCAAAGGCATGATCCATGAAAAAAAGAACTGATGAGTCGGACTTTATTAAAAGTTTCTGTTCTGTGAAAAATACTGTCAAGAGATTAAAAATATAAGACACAGACTAGGAGAAAACATTTGCAAAAGACATAGTTAATAAAAGACTGTTATCCAAAATATCAAAGCCCACTTAAAACTCAACAAGAAAACAAACTCAATTAAAACGGGCCCAAGACCTTAACAGATACCTCACCAAAGAAGATAAACAGATAATAAATAAGTATATGAAAAGATGCTCTACACCACAGTTCATCAGGGAAATGCAAATTTAAAAAATAATAGAAAAACAAACAAAACAAAGAGACATCACTATACATCTTTAACCAAAATCCAGACCACCAATAAGATCAAAAGGTCTGAATGTTTGTGTCCCCTCATCACCAAATTCATATGTTAAATCCTAACTCAATGGGACAGCATTAGGAGGTGAGCCCTTTGGAGGTGATTAGGTCACAGGGGCAAATCTTTCTTGAATGAGATTAATGTCTTTATAAGTGAGGCCAGAGAAATCCCTCCCCATCCTACCACGTGAGGCCAAAATCAGAGGTCTTCAACCCAGAAGAGGTCCTCACCCAATCACACTGGCACCCTGATCTCAGATTTAAAATCTCTATAGCTGTGAGAAGAAATTCTTCTTGCTTATAAGCTACCCAGTCCATGCTATTTTGTTGTACCAGCCTGAACAGACTAAGACATGCACCCAAGAGCTCCCCAAAGAAGATATACAGATGGCACACAAGCATATGAAAAGACGCTCCACCTCATGTGACATCAGAAGTGCAAATAAAATAATGAGATAGTACTGAACACCTATTATAGCCAAAATCAAGACAGAACACTAATACTATCAAATGCTGGTAAGGATGTGAAGAAAAAGAAATTCTCATTCATTGCTGGTGGGAATGCAAAATGGTACAATCACTTTGGAAGACATCTTGGAGACATCTTACAAAAACTAAACATACTCTTTACCACACAATCCAGAAATCACACACTGTGGTATTTACCCAAAGAAGTTGAAAACTTATGTCTACACAAAAACCTGTATGCTATGCTTACAGTAGCTCTATTCATATATGTCAAAACTTGGAAGCAACCAGGACATCCTTCAGTAGGTAAATGGATAAATTCTACAGTAAATTCAGACAATGAAATTTTATTCAGTGCTAAGAAGAAAACAGCCACCAAATTATGAAAAAACAGGGAAAAAATTAAACGTGTTAAGTGACAGAATCCAGTTTGAAAAGGCTACATACTATATAGGACTCCAACTATATGACATTTAGAAAAGGTATAGCTACTGGGACAGTAATAGGATAAGCGGTTACATAGGTTTGAGAGTAGGAGATGAATAGGTAGAACACAAAGGATTTTTAGGGCTATAAAACTACTCTGTATGATAGTGTAACGGTATCTTCAAATCATTATACATTTGTCCAAACCCTGAACTGTTCACCAAGAGTGAGCCCTAGTGTAAACCATGGGTGTAGGTGATAATTATGTGTCAATGTAGGCTCATCTATGTAGGCTCACTTTGATGGGGGATACTGATAGTAGGGCAAGTTAGGCATGTGTGTGGGCAGGGGCTTTATGGGAAAATCTCTGTGTCTTCCTTTCCATTTTGCTGTGACCCTAAAATTGCTCTAGAAAACCAAGTCTGTTAATAGGAAAAAAAAAAAGAGTAAGTACAAGGAAATAGATGTGCACTGAAGAGAAACTAAGTCACTGAACATAAACCCCATTTAAAAGGAAAAATAGGGCTGTAATGAAGGTAATAGTGCAAAGAATTTCTGTTTTAAAAAGTGAAACTAAATAGATATATGGAATCAGAAGTCATTTGAGTTATGACATTTAAAGGCTGCCAATAAAAAAATCAGAGTTGAAAGTATTATTCTATATAATTAAACATCACAGCATCAATCATATATTGCCTAGATAATCCATTCGTCTTTTGTTTAACATACAAGGCACTGTAGGGGATGGATTCATTGCCAATCCTCTCCTTAGTTATGGGAGGCACTGCTAGCTGATCAAGTTACTCTTTCCCATTAAACATCTAACAACCACCCATGAGCATACATTCCTGTTCAGGAGATTCCCCTACAGTTCAGAAATTCCCCCAAGACCAATAATAAAAAATTCAGAAGAAAAAGACTAAATAAGGCAATAATAAGAGAGTTCCCTGAGAATAAAAATTTAACCTATTTTTTCCTTTCCTTAGTCCTTCAGTCAATCAAGGCGTGTCCTTTTGCAATCATCCAAATGATCCTGTTTACCCTGCTTCTTCCCACTCATGAAAACTCTAGTCACAGAAGCTACCTTGGTTCAGTGTTACTCAAAGAAAACAAATGACACTGCTTGGATGGTGACAAGTCTTGACTACTCCAGTGGATATTTATAACTCCCATTAAGAGCTTTTTTAGCATACTAAATAATATGCTAACGTCTACAACAGAGTGTTTTATTGCCTGTTGACTACTTCCTCCCACTTCCATTTGTAGTTTTCTCACTCTTCCTATCCCACATCCTCGCCCAAGTCTCCTAGGCTAAAATTATCAAGGTCCAGTACTATGCAGCTGTCTGGCATTTGGTCCTACACTGGGATATGAGTATCAGTGTAGGGGAAAAAATGTGTATAGACAGTGATTCTCGACTAGATTCTTGCACTAACTAAATGGCTAACCTGTAAATACAGGGTATGTTCCATCACTCAACAAATTCCTCCAAAAATAAAATTATGAAATATTATACACATGGACTATCCTGGATATGTTAAATAATACAAAGAATAAGTTTCTATTTTTAAGGACATTACAATTTAGTAGGAGGAAAATGTATGTTCTAAAAGATTTACAAGTAACCATCCTCATGAGAATGATGTGGCTACTACTGTCATCCCACGTTACAGATAAAAAGGCTGAGTACTGAAAGACTGAGTAGCATGCAGAAAGTCACACAGCTGGTAAGTGGTAAACCCAGGTATCAACCCAGCCAGCGTGGCTCACAAGAACTGCACTCTTGCATCGTATAATTCAACAGAATATGTAATAAGTACCCTGAGAGAGAGATGAGTTGCTACAGGAAATTAAGAAAGAAAAACTTCCTGCTGAGCCAATGATGACAAGCTTCAGATTCAGCTGTGCCTCTAAAGAACAATATAGTTTATAAGTAAAGGCGTTTGAGGTGAATCCTATGAATTTTACAGGGAAGTTTTTGTTTTTTTCCTTTTCAGTTTTTATTTCTGAATGGTTGTTAATTTCTTTTTTTTTTAATTGAAGGATAATTGGTTTACAGAGTTTTGTTGTTTTCTGTCAAACCTCAACATGAATCAGCCAGAGGTATACATATATCCCCTCCCTTTTGAACCTCCACAAACCTCTCCCTTTTTTCTCTTTCCTTTTGGTAAGTTAACAAGGTTAAATCTAGCCTATTTCTTAAAAAAAAAAAAAAAAACACATACACACACACATAGAAAACAATTCTGTCCTTGAGCTATACAACCCTCCCCCCTTTCATTGACAGACTTCTTTAAAGAAATCTACACTCATCACTTCCAACTCCATTGTCTCCTATTCAGTCCTCAGCCCTCTACCTCCTGATATCTGTATGCATTACTCTACTAAAATGGCTCTTGCTAAGATCACAAATTA